CCGTGCGGTCGGGTCCCGCGGTGGGCGAGGCGGGGTCTCCGCGAGGGGCGTGCTCAGCCCGTCCGCCCCGGAGGAGCCCCGCACTGACCTGGTGGCCGGGGTCACCTCGGAACCAGGGCGCAGTCCGCGTCCTCGGGGGCGCGGGCGGGAGGTCTAGATGGGTCCTCCGCGCTTCGTGCCTTCCTCCTGGGTTCGCCCACACGAAGGGGTTCGCTGCCCGGAGGCTGGGGGGGGCCGGTGCCTCCGGGGGCCACCTCATGACCGGGCGGCCACGGGGGGCTGGCACGGCTCCCTCGAGCAGGTTCCGCAGCTCTGTCACCCGCGGGCTTCGCGAGCTGTCGGCGCTTCCTCCCCAAGTCGGCTTGATTTCATCACTTGACTCACTTCGGCGCAGCTAGTGGTTTCCGTTTCTGCAAGAGCGCGCTCCGGTCGGGGCGCCTCACGTCCAAAGGAGGAGCCTTCCTCTTCCAAAGAGGAGCCTCTGGTATTTGGCAGAGCCTCGCTAATTTGGGGCGCACCACCCCGCCCTGGATGGCTACCGAAACACAAACCGATTCCCAGAGGCGAGGGAGAAGCAGCGACAATAGAGAGAAACGCGCCTTCCTTGTTTGGAGAGACTGTGGTTTCCTGGAGAGGGCTTGCGTCTGCTGTAGGTTTGCTGAGAAGCTCCACATCTACAGTATGGGGCAGGGGAGAATGCAGGCTCCAGGCAGAGGGTGGGTTCTGCTGTTGTTTTTAAGCAAAAATAAATAAATAAATGTCAACGGTATTTTTTTCCCTTTTATGGTTTTTACAACTTTCTGTTTCAACCACCCTTATGCTGTTATGACAAACATTGACATGCCCGAAACCAGGACTTAGCATGACCTTTGCACCAACCTATGAACTCATTCATTTATTTGACTGTATCTTCAATATATATAGGAATGGAAATAGAGAAATAGCTGTAAACGTTTTAGTGACATGCTTACTAGTAGATATAAGGTGACAAGTTTTTCTATAAAGTTTAGCTGTGGCCTTCCCCCTGGCATTTTGACACATACTTTTATGGTTCTTATTTATTGGTAGATTCGTGTTATGCATGACCTAAGAATAAGGTTTTGAAATACCGGTTAGTATAGTATCAACAGGTGTAGCTTTAGAACTTGCCTAATCTGACATTGATTTTAGCATCCATTTTGCTATTTTATACCACACCTATGAATTAGATTTAAAACTTTAGTTAGTTGTTTGTTTTGTATATTATGGTTACTTTGTAACCATCAAGGAAACTTTGTGTTGTGACCTTTTAATAGCAGTACCTACAAGCAATTTTTAAGCTCTCTCTCTCTCTCTTCCCCCCAAAAGAGTTCTCTTTGGGAACTACTTATGTATTTATGATCATACTAACTTGATAATATTTGTCTTTAGGTCCACAGCTAGTCACACTGACTACCCAAGTCGCTCCCCCCACCCCACCCGCACACACACATGCATCTTTTTTTTTCTTTTTTTTTTTTTTAGGTTCTGAATCTTGATTTGTTGTTTGCCTCAAAATGGAGTTGAGAGTGTTAGTCTTTGGGAAATTTGAGAAAAATCCTAAATGTACTAGTATATCCAAAAATTGTGTGTCTCTTATCTTGGACCACCCATTCCTGAATGAGGCAGGAACCAAAGATTATCAGAGTTGTGATGTCCCACCAAGCAAAGATAAACAATTTTTACAGATAGCAGATGGATATAGAATAACAATCTGGAATCCAAGGACAGAGATGCATTGACAGCAAGACTAGTAAAGTCAGATAATAATGGAAAAGAGAAGCCAGGACAGCACTATAAAAAGAGAGAGCAAGTAAGTACACCCAAAATGCTGCATGAAGAGTGAAAAAGAACAGAAATAAACTGTAAAAATCAGAAGTTACTAAAAATTGATTGTCAGTTTAACAATGGAGACAGATAATTTAAACAAGGAAGCAATATTTCTGAGTCTGGCATATCTACCAGCATTACATGTACTATTTCATTTCATTCTGAAAGCAGTCTTAAAATTAATGAAAGTTTTCTTAACAATAAAATGAAAATGCTGCAGGCTGGGCGGAGGGGAGGGATTATTATGCTGAAATGTTTACCCTAAATCTAATCAGAGGAAGAGTTTTTAAAAGTATCATACTATTCAAATTGAAAAATATAGAATTTGTTTTATAAAGGGAAAATTAGCATTTCATAAAATAAAACCTAGGAGCCTTAGTGTAGCCATGCTTCTCAGACAAACTTATTTTGATGCTACATGTTTGGCACATAATGGCAATTAAAACTGAAAATTGAGCAGATTTTAGGAAAGAAGAGAGACAAATCTCTCTCTCTCTCCAAGATTAGTCAAAATAATGCTCATTTATATGGATTTGAAATAATAGTCACTGTTTAATAATTTCTATTAACATTTAAATTAATGCCAAGACCAGTATCTGGCCCTTAGTAGATGCTCAATAAATATTTAACTGGATAAATTAATCCATTAAATTCCATGAAAAAGTTAACATGCATACTTTCTTGAGCAGAGTACAAGTCCAAAGAATGGTTTAACCCAGTGGTTCTCAACCTTCCTAATGCCGCAACCCTTTAATACAGTTCCTCATGTTGTGGTGACCCCCAATTTCATTGTTACAAATTGAACATAATTAAAGCATAGTGATTAATCACAAAAACAATATGTAATTATATATGTGTTTTCTGATGGTCTTAGGCGACCCCTATGAAAGGGTCGTTCAACCCCCAAAGGGTCTCGACCCACAGGTTGAGAACCACGGTTTAACCAAACATTATGGGAAGATAATCTGGGGCAAGTAAGGATAATGGACTAGGAATCTGAGGGACAAGCTTCTCATAACAATAACTACCAATTATGTGTTTCATAAGGCTCTATGCAAAGCAACTTACACTCCTACAAGTCACTTTACTTCTGGGCTTAAATTTTTTCTTCCACAAAACAAAATAGTGGTACAAGGTGATCTATCTTTCTGTTTCTTTACACTCTAATTCATGTAAACTCCATGATAAGAGAATGTTCAGACAAAACAAAACAAAAACCTCTTCTGGATATGTAGGAACAATATGCAATTGAAAACAAAGATGAAAACATATATTACTTAATTGAGATAGAAATTTCAATTCATAAAAAATAATTGTAATATACATGTAACAAGTAAAATTGTTCAGATTCACTAAGTCCAACTTTAAACATTTTTAGCGTGTTAATTGTCTAATTGTTGGTTACCCGGGGCTTAGCAACTTTAGTTTGAAACATATTGCCTTATTTAACCTTGAAAAACAATTTTATTTCCTGTGGGAACTGGAGTCTCCAGTCAGCATCTCAAAGTCAAACTGAGAGATTTGGCTCTAAGACTAAACAGACTGAAATAATTTCTACTAAAAGAGTTGAATGGCTATTGATTCAAAAGGAGAACAGTGCTGGTATCATCGTGAAGAGCCACAAATATGTGGTATTTTTTTTATTAAGACTTAGCATAGTTGTACATTTAGTTTAAAATATTAGAAAAGTGAAAACATGAATAGATTATTTTTAGTACGAACTGTCTAGGCCACTGTTTTGTATGAGCACTGCTTAGGTTTTGCTTTTTGTTGGTGTTGTTTTTTTTTCCCCCTCTAAAAAATATCAGAACAACCATCTGGAACTTTCAAAGAAGTACAGATTTCTATGAGGGCACTTATTGACTTAAATTGCAGCAGAACTTTGTTTTGTTAATCTCGCATCCTAAATGCTTGGCACGTAGTAGGTGCTTAATAAATATTTGATGAAATGGATTGAATAGAGTGCAGAGTTTCAAGCTTTTAAGCATTAGCATAAGAGCAAAAAGAAATGCTATGCTGAGTCAGGCTAATATGCAATCTAGCTAGCACTAAATTCTGACAGTGGCTCCAAAGTATATTTTGTGGGAAAACGGTGACAGTCCTGTGTGATGTTGACCTCAGAGGTGTACTCCAGGTATCCTTGACTCAATCTTTTTTAAGTTGATCTCTCTTTTTTCCTGTAAAATTATGTTTTAAATTGTTAAGCAATTCATGTTCATTATAGGAAAATCGGGAAATACAGATAAGCTAAAAGAAACCAATTTTGAAATATGCAAAATTCCTTATATGAAGATGAATTAGTGTTACCAGACCCTTTCCCATTGTATATCTTTCCAGATACTTTTATATTGAAAAGTTGGGGGAGTAGAATGTGCGATATGGAGGGAGACAGGGACATGTTTAAAAATAAAAAACTAGATCACATTTGGGTCTTGTTTTTTAGCCAGAATTTTCTAATTAACATATTTTCCCATGCCAATAAATCCATTTTTAACAGCATTATTTTTAATTACTGCATAGTTTCTTTTTGTGTGAAAAATCAGTCACTTATTATTGGACAAGAAGATTGTTTCCAAATTGTGCTATTGCAAACAGTGTTCTAATGATCACACTCTTCATCTACTGATCACCATTTCATCTGCTGAAACATTTATGATTTTCTTCTGACTTTTATAAACCAGTTTGTATTAGTCATCCAATATTGTAAACAATGTTGATATTATTAAAGGCATCATATCACAAAGACTAACCATAGAAAATATATTAGCAATTTAGCATTTTCTCTTTGTAAGAATATTAATTCTGGTTTTCAAATCTTTATATGAAGGATGCTCATTATAAGGAAAACCTTATCACTTAAGAAATATGGAAGTACAGTGTCCCACTTATCTCAGAAAAGTCAGATTTCTTACCTGATCATAACATACTATTTCCCTCTTCTGAAAATCTGTATATCTTTTGATACAATATTCTTTCTTCACCT